ATAATGTGTTTTTTGAACATTAAAGCATGTCAACATATTCTGTTACACCAAATACACCAAATAATGATCTTTAAAAAAAGCATCATATGACCCCTTTAACACCCCCTTACTTTTGCAGAAAACTTGCAAAGCAAGAGCTATACATGACAGCATCTTTAATTCTATACCTTTTGCTAACCGCAGCAAGAGACACCTGCTTTCTTCTCGCCTCAACAGGATGTCAGTTGCTCCCTTAAACGGTTTTTACTTGCAGATTGCTTTGAGTCTTTTTTATAAGTTCAAACGGCGTCAACCTCGCCTGTCAAAGTTTCCAAGTCAGAGTAAAATACTTTCCCTTTCCCCTCCCCCACTTAGACTTTTGACCTTACCCCTCCCTCACCACATGGCCCACCCATGTCGCGACCTTGAGACCAGCCGCGTCCTGCTGACCCCGTGACCTATTAATGATATCCAGATGTGGAAATCTGCATATGTGGAATTCCGATGTCGACCTGTGACCTCCGTGAGAGAAATGTTTTGTCCGGTGACGAGTCATAAATGAATTCTGTGTAATGTTTTTGAACTTTTATGGTCCGTTTTGAACTCCCAAATCAGGGGTTTACCCATCTGCGGTCCACATGTCCGGGGAGGTGTCCTGTTTCATTTTGGGTCACTCTCTCTTTCTCTATGGGAGATGTGAGAAAAAGAAGGATGTAATGATGGACAATATCAAAATAAATAAACAATTTTAACAGATCATGAGAACATATCACAAAATGTGTGTGCGTGTACACACATATAATATGATGACTGTATAAAACGGTTCTCAGCATTATAAAAAAGGATTTAAATAACACACCTAATAATGAAATTGAAAATAAATCAATAAAGAAAGAAATGGATAAAAATGCCCTTACATTTTTCTGTGAGAAAAAGTTTTCCTCGTGCAAGGATGACCATTCTTCGAATTAGAGGTTTACAGAAATTGTGCTTAGTTTAGGTTGGAAAAGCTCCTCTGTCTCTCTCTCTCTTTCTCTCTCTCTCTCTCACGCTCTCTCTCTCTCTCTCTCTCTCTCTGGGGAAAAGAAGGTTGTAATGATGAACAAACAATATTAAAAAGTAAAGGAATTTAAGAGACCAATTTTAAGAGTCTCTCTCTCTCTCTCTTTCTCACACACACACGCATTCAATCGCCCGAATCTTGTTCTCTTCTTTTAAATGAATATAAATAAATTATGTGATCACACATGATATAAAACAAAGCAAAACATTTACACTAGTTTTAGGCATCACTATAAATATAAAAATGTCGTACATTTTTCCAGGAGTGGGAAAAAGAGTTTGTCATGGAAGAAAAAGTTATTGGTCGATTGTAATGATAGCGAATCGCGGCGTCAAAATAAGTAAAAGGGGGGAAAATATTTTAACAGGCCAAATGATAAGGGCTGTTGGGGGCTATGTCTGGACATGTCAGATGTCCATGTTTTATGGAGGCTTTCCATAGACATAATTCAATTCAATTCACGTTTATTTTGTAAGGAACTCGTTTGAGAGGGGAATTCGAATCTGAAGATTCAAAGTCTGATTCAAAATGTATAGCTTACACTTCATCAACTATTCGTCCAGCGTCTAGTAGAATTTAGTGTATCTTACCAATTCTGTTTGTACTACTCCGTGGCCAACGATAATAATACAAGATTGGTATTTGTGTTAACTATGAGCAAGGTAACAAGATCTGGGCAAAGTTTTAACTTTAAATTACACAACATTAAGAATTAAGCGAATTAAGAATCACAAACGGCTGCATTCGAGTCTTCAAGTCATTTTAGGACACAACATCGTCAAGTAAGTAACTTTAACGAATGTTACAGTATTCACTGTAGTTGTCCGCTAGTAAAAACATAGTTTTATCAGTCATTATCCGTGTATGCCATTGTTTTGCGTTTACTACGGTTCAGTGGATCAGGAGGCGCTGGCTGGTGTGACTGAGTGGAGGCGGGACTAATTTGCATATTCATAGATCAGCGTATAGTAAATGAGGCAAGGGTGTTGAGTTACATTCAAGCTATTTTAAGGCATGAGAAAATAATTTTCACAAGAAAAAACATTTAAATATGTAATTTTGATGATCAAAGTTACGTTTTAAGGGATAAAATATTTGACTACAGGGGGACTTTAAGATAAATTCAGCACCAGTTTTCCAGCTAGTAAGGAGACCTTGTTTTACTTGCCTTTGAGTTGAGAGCTGAGAGGGGTTTTCCTCGTTGGCTTGTCCCAGGGAACCCCGGAGCCTCTGATTGGTTGCCGATGACCTCTTTTTGGGAGAGCCCTCGGGGTGAATAGGCGTTGCTTGGTTACGGAGCAGCCTTGAAGTTCGTCTGAGAGAGTCTGAGTTTGCAATAAGACAGAGGTTGATTGTCACTGTTCTTTAGATCCGTTGTTTTTGCAGGCCTGGAGCTTGTTTGCTAAATCACTCCCTTCCTGTCGTACATGAAGCTTGGTCACCAGGGGACAATCAACCATTTGTGGCTGACATGACTAAAACAAAAGGGGTTTTCTTCTTCTTTTGATTGGATTAAGTCTATCACTGCTTTAGATGTCTCTTGAGAAGATGAGCAGAGTGGAACAAGAACTGCTCGAGACAATTGGGCGCCTCGGTTAACCATTGATCAGTTTTACGACCGCAGATGGCTGAGTAGGAGAACTTTTGGTTTTCCTTTGGAATGTAAAGATTCCATAGTTATTTGGGTCTGTTCGAGACAGAGATCCTACAATTTGTATAACTTTTTCACAAAACAAATTCTTGCAAAAGCAGTTTCACAGAAAATTAAAGTTCTACATTATATTTAGAAAATTTTATATTCATATTTACATTATATTATTTAATTTTATACTGTATCACCCCCCTAAACCTACCCATCACAGTTAACTTTCTGTATTTCTATATTTTCATAAACATCATTTGGTATAATTTATGAAGGTGTTATGCTCATGAGGACAAATTTTGCTCAAGTCAATTATTTGAAGTATTGCTACACAACAAGGTAACCACGCACCCACACCCACACACACACACACACGCCTGCTTTGTGGGGACACTCCATAGACGTTTTTTACTGTACAAACTGTACACCTACCCTTCACACAAAAAAATCCTGCATACTTCCATTTTTAATAAAATATTGTCTCTAAGCGATATTAATTATGAGGACTCAATAAATGTAATCATAAACCACATTTACATTGTTATATCAGTGTAGCCCCATGTCATTATACAAGTTTGTGTTCTGATAAATCATATAAACAAGCACACACATACATAAACATTTCAAGCTAAAAAAGAGACTTATCTCTATTTTAAAGAAAATGGTAATAAATAAAGTATATGTCGTAGTATCAAACACGTTACTAAAGCAAAGCAAATCATTTATCATACATTTTAAACAAATATTTAACATTTTATATTCATATTTACATTTTATTAATGAATTTTATACTTTATCATCCCCTAAACCTACCCATCACAGTAAACCTTCTGCATTTTTATATTTTCATAAACATAATTTAGTATAATTTATCATTTAAAAAGCTGTAATGCTCAGGGACAAATTTAGCTCAGGTCAATCATTTGAATTATTACTACACATCTGGTTTGTGGGGCACTCCATATAGGCATAATGATTTTTTTTTACTGTACAAACTACACCTACCCATTACACAAATATTTCTGCATATACATCCATTTTTGATAGAATATTGTTTGTAAGCTATCTTAATTATGACAACTCAAGAAAGTTTCATGAAAAACACGTTATATCAGTGTAATACCCATGTCTTTTATTAAAATTTGTGTTCTGATAAATCATAAACAAGCACACACAAAGCAAACAAACATTACTAGCTAAAAAGAGACTCATCTCTATTTTAAAGAAAATGGCAATAAATTAAATAGAATTATATATGACAGCATAGTAACAAAGCAAAGCAAACCATTTATCATTATCATTTAACATTTTAAACAAGTATTTTAAACCGAATTTTTATTTTTTTCACTAACCATGCATAAACACAATCATGTACATTCATGCTGCTCACATATTATTGTAGCCCAGTTTGTGCTGAATACAGTATAATCAGAATTTGGCCATTAATATGTTTTAAGATACTGAAAAAACACATGTCAGGGCATGTCAAAACTTCTTCAGGCCTCAAAACCTCTCAGACCCCAGAGGGTTAAAGAACATGATAATAAATAAAATATAGAATTATACATCATAGTAACAAACATGTTACTAAAGCAAAGCAAACCATTTATCATACATTTTAAACATGTATTCAACATTCATTTAAGTTTATTGACCTTATACAATCATTTTCTTCTTTTAGAGAAGATGGTGATAAATAAAATGTGATTATATGTAACATACTGTATAAAATAAACATTTACTATAGTTTTAGATGACAATATAAAAACACTTTATTTTCTGTGAACAATGACATCCATTCCGTGAATGAAATGCTTCCAATAAAATAAATAAATAAATAAAACAAAAAATGTTTAAGTTGAAATATAAACAAAACTCACAGATCCTCCCAGGGAGGGAGTTTACACCATTGTGAAATGAATGCGTCAGACCCACTCAGAGACGGGCAGAGTTACAGTGCATGTGTCAAGCATAGACTGTATGCTTCGACGTCCGTGACGTCACCCGTAGTTTTCTGAAGAACGTTTTTGAAGCTCGAAAGTTTTGAGCAAACAAACTTTTTGTTTGAATCTCTCAACATTTTACAACAGTAGCCAGGTGGTGAAGACAAGACAAAAGAAACTAAATTACGAAGTCACTTGCAATCGCCACTTGCACTCTCCGATACCTGCGACGTCACTTGCAGTCGACACAAATCGTGCGTGTTGCCAATGGAGACAAGACGCTGTGGTGGTGATTAAACGATTAAAACTAATTTTATACTATAACGTACAGGGTCCTGCAAGAAAAAGACAAGACCCGCAAATCCGTGGCCACAGAACAGCAGAATATGAACGCAATGCACAAAGTATCTCGTTAAGCGTTTTCCTTCTGTATAAAAACATAAATAACATGGATAATATATATAAAATAATCATTTTTTTTAGTTTTTTAGTTTTACTATATTTTTTGTGACGCCTAAAACTAGTGTAAATGTTTTGCTTTGTTTTATATCATGTGATCACATAATTTATTTATTTATATTCATTTAAAAGAAGAGAATAAGACTGAATGCGTGTGCGTGTGTGTGAGATGAGAGAGAGAGAGAGTGTCTCTTAAAATTGGTCTCTTAAATTCCTTTACTTTTTAATATTGTTTGTTCATCATTACAACCTTCTTTTCCCCACATCTCCCATAGAGAGAGAGAGAGAGAGAGAGAGAGAGAGAGAGACAGAGGAGCTTTTCCAACCTAAACTAAGCACAATTTGAAAACTAAGGGGATTTTTATCCATTTCTTTATTTATTGATTTATTTTCAATTTCATTATTAGGCGTGTTATTTAAATCCTTTTTTTATGATGCTGAGAATCGTTTTATACAGTAATCATATTGTATGCGTGTACATGCACACACATATTGTGATATGTTCTCATGATCTGTTAAAATTGTTTTTCTATTTTGACCAGACAGAGTTGTACAAACATATTTCTCTCACGGAGGTCACAGGTCGACATCGGAATTCCACATATGCCGATTTCCACATCTGGATATTAAAAGGTCACGTGGTCAGCAGGACGTGGGTGGTCTCAAGGTCGTGGGTGGGCCATGTGGTGGGGGAGGGGTAAGGTCAAAAGGCTATGTGGGGGAGGGGAAAGGTCAAAAGGTCAAAGCCATAAATCTTTTTGACATAAGCTACAGTTTACCGTGTGACTACTCCGCACAATAAAATCTTTTTCTCTCTCAGCAAATCCACTACCTGCAGGAATCATAACAGCTGATGGACAGCAACAAAATGTGATGGTTTACACCACCTCCTATCAGCAGGTCAGAATCACACTTAAGATAGCACACTTCAGTCTTCACTTTCAAGCATTTTGAGTGATGCTTTTAACTGTGTTTCATCTGATGTAGATCCCAGGTGTGCAACAGCTCCAGTTCTCCTGAAGATGTGCAGAAATCAACACCTAATCATCACGAATCAGACCTCCACACTTCCACAGGTCATGAGCAGTGGGGTCTGCTATGGAGATCTTCAGTGGACTCTCACAGGTCACAGAGCTGGACTTCTATGTTTGTTTAGCTTGTTTTTGTGTGTGCTCCGTGTGTGTCTGTGCACACACCTTATGATTTTACGTGACTAGTCTGTTGGGTGTTATTTATTTTTTTTCATCATACATTTGGAGTTTTATCCATGTAAAGGTTTGGGGTAAAAGGGGTCCTGAGTGGGTTCAAAACTAACTCACCCCTCTATCAAAGCAATAAAATAGAACAAATGTGAATTTTCCTGCAACTTAGTGGAATGAGGGCTTTACTCCTTTTTTTTATATAGATTAAAAATCATGTTGCATGTGTAATTTCAGTTTGATGAGATGTTAACACTTAAAATAAAATGTGGAATCTTTGTAAATAGTTCATATTTTTGTGTATGTTTTTTTTTTCTCAATGTTTACGTGAATTTGTATTGATGCATTTCATTCAACTTGAAGAACTCATTTTAAAGCAATCTGCATTTATCAGTCAAATCCAAAAATAAATGTAAATAGGTTCTTCAGTGTGGCCCATTTTAGGACAGTGACTTCTTTGGATGATTTTACATTCAATTCTTGCTGAATTTCATTTTGTTTATTATTTTCATTTTGTTGTTGTAAAACCGTGCTTTAATACGGAAATAGTAACTAGGTCTGTACTCTGGACTATATGTCAAAATATTTGATGGATGACCTTTGACCTTTAGCTCCTCCCTCTTAACCTCTGACCTTTTAATGATCTCCAGGGCTGTGTTAAAGTTCACTTTTTTATGCCCTTCACTCGCTAACTTCCCTCCGTCTCGTTTACTTGGATGTACGTCATTGATTACGTTGAATGAGTGCCCACTACTGGCAGAACCCTTGGAATGGGCTGAATTGGAACTTCCTAAGGCCTTGATCACTTAGAATCCGCTACGGAGTTGGTTTATTGTTTACATATGTTTCCCCTTACGAATTTGTTTGGTGCAGCATTCTATATGTATATAGATATGCTTGGGCTGTTAGAAATGTAAAAAAAATCATTTATATATTATAGAGTTGTTTGGGGTGGAGATAAATTAAATGTGATCTGCGATGACGTCGTAGTCTTGTTGCATTGTGGTCTACAGAGCGGCCTGATGTGTGCATATGAAGCAGACTCGCTCCCTCCGTTAAAATCGAGGGGTCGAGAGTATGTCCATGTAAACTTCCCTCGTCCACTTGATGAAGTGGAACGCACTTCAAAATGGCGGCGGGGATTCCCCCGATGGGAAGTGCTTAGGAAATTCGCAAGTGCGTGTCTAAAAGTGAACTGGAACACAGCCCAGATGTGCTATGCCATCTGTTATTAATATAGATGGATTACCGAGGTTGACCTGTGACCTCCAGCATGAAATATGAGTTTTGTTTAAATTGGCCGTGTCAAAGTTCAGAATTGAAGATTTCACGTCTGTTTTTGAACTTCATCGTCCGGGACAGCTGTGGACCACATGTGCGAGGTATCGGGTGGCACGCCATCTCGGGGTTTTTGGTCACTCTATACATGGATGTGAGAAAGATATTGGTTTTAAGGACAGTATCAAAATATAAGTAAAAGAATAAACAATTTTAAGAGATCAACGCATATTGTGTATATCTCTCAAGTTCAATGTGCTTTATTGGCATGACATTTGTGTTACAGTATTGCCAAAGCATTTTAGATGTGTAAAATACAGAATATAATTACACCACCAAAGTAAAAAAGGAGACAATAAATTAGAAAATAAATTAGAAAATACATTTAAAAATACTATAAAATAAAAATAACTCTCTCACACACACACACACACACACAGAGAGACATATTCTGGCTGTTTTCTGATTTTCAGCGTTATAATGAAATGAAAATAAAGAATTAAAAACTTAGCTTAATGAATAAAATAAATCAATAATAATTAAAACTTTGAGCATAATGAAAAAATTACTTACATTTTTCAGGGAGGTTGAGAAATTACATCTTTACACAATGGCAGCGGTGCATCGAATAAAAGGTTTGCAAATAGTTGAAGCTGAATTATAAAATCTCCGAGTGCAGAGTTTTGTTACATGTCTAGCTCACAGAGTGAAAATGGGAGGCAGTCGTGGGGGAGTGGAACAACACACACACACAGGCAGGCTGAGAGAGTGTAGAAAACTTCTGTGAATGTCTGCGTTAATAATGATTTCAAAGCATAATGTTACTTAAATTTTAAATAAACATTTGGTAGAATGGTGTGGTTTTTGTTTAAATTTCAACCTAAATTATAATTTATATTAGATTTATTCTGCTTCAAACACTTTAGATTCTTTAAAAAAAAATCAGTGTTTTGCCCTGACAAATAGTTATGTTTTTAAAATATAATTAAACACACACACACACCATTCAAGCAGATGTATAAAATAACTTGTCTCTAATTTAAGAAGATGGTAATAAATAGAATATGTGACTATATATAACACAATATAAAAATAAACATGGCTCTAAAACACAGCGAAACAACTAGTTTTAGGTAACAATAAATATGAAAAAAGCCTTACGTCTTTCAGAGCGCTAAGAGGTAGATCTTTACGCAGTGATGTCCAAACATGAATGAGTGATTTAAAAAAATAAAATACAATGCATTTAGTTTAAGTTGAATCATAAACAAAATCTCACAGACCCTTGCCTTGTCCATTATGAAACTGAGGGTCTGAGTGCTTCGGACCCTCACAGAGAGATGGGAGGGGTGAGGGAGGAGATACAGACCAGATGTTCAGTTAGTCAATTCACTTTTCTCTAAGTGAACGTTTTGAATGTGCTACATTTATTTTATAAGTGTAATATTGCTTTAAAGTTTAAATAAACAGTGTTCCCTTCTACTTCCGTCCTATGGTAGAAATATTCTCACTGGTCTTAAGTATAATTTGTATTAATCAGGTTTATTCCAGTTCTAAAACTTTAGACTGTTTAAAAGTTTAGATTTTTTTTAAAGTTTCTTCTTTCTAAAAAAGATTCAACCAGCGTTTTATCCTGCTCAATATGACGCATGCTGACAAAAAAAATAAAAAATACAAATAGGTGAGTTTTAAGATATAACTAAACTAGACATATTGAACTAGATATACAGTGGGTACGGAAAGTATTCAGACCCCCTTAAATTTTTCGCTCTTTGTTATATTGCAGCCATTTGCTAAAATCATTTAAGTTAATTTTTTTTCCTCATTAATGTACACACAGCACCCCATATTGACAGAAAAACACAGAATTGTTGACATTTTTGCAGATTTATTAAAAAGGAGATAAATAATAATAATTTTTGTCCCGCGATAGAAAATATCTCCACTGTCAAAACCTAGTATACAATATTAAAACTAAAGAATTTATTAATTGTGGTAATACTTTACGTTTTAAGGGTTCACATGTCTCATAGATCTATATGATTTCACTTTTCTTATTTCTACAAAGATTACATTTCAGTCCAATTCCTAATTTTCTCCATATGGGGAACTGGTATAAGTATATCACTATCACTGGAATCTCTCTCATGCGGCTGAGGTCACAGAGGGGCCCCACGTCTCGCCAACATCCGCTCAGCTTCAGACACACAGAAGCCTTATGATCAATTTTAATAAGCTAATGCAATAACATGTAAAACGCAGTGACGCAGGGAACCCCCCTCTCTCACCAGCATTAAATTACATATGGCTTTCCCCGTCTGCGTCTTAAAACACCAGACGTCTTATGGTTTACCTCAGTCAACATACTGACCAGGGTAAAATATTAAAGTAAAGAGACCCCCTCTCAGTCTGTGTGTGTGTGTGTGTGTGTGTGTGTGTGTGTGTGTGTGTATCAGATATACCTCGGTAATCCATCTATATTAAAACCAGATGGCATAGCACATCTGGAGATCATTAAAAGCTCAGAGATCAAAATTGACATTTAAAAATGAAAAGAGGAACAAAACACCCCTATTATGCCATTTCCAATATTGCCTTTCATGCAGTGTGTAATGTAGCTGTATGTGAATGTAAACGATCTGCAAAGTTGTAAAGCTGAAAGTGCACGATAAATAAAGTTATTGTCTCCCAAAATAAAGAATCGACTCTGAACAGCTGAAACGAGTCGTTAGTAATTCGAATCCCACTTCCGTGACGGTTGCACGTCAGGGGGTAACACATTTGCATAATGCGCGCCTATGTTCTACGTTGGCCGGCCGTGAACTTGGCCCCGCCCACAAACACGTCATTCTACTGACGACTGCTTCTCTAATCTTGGGGAGTTCAACGCGGGATTCACAAAATGCTTGCTGTTGAAAGATGGATCAGTATCCTGTTTATTTGGACCAGCTGCTCCACTGAATCACAACCTGTAAGTATGATAAATAATAGATGTTTATTTGTTTTCTATAGAGCGTTCAAAATACAGAACTGTTGAAATAGGCGTATCGTTTCCCACACGCGCTGTACGCCGTAGACCAATCACAACAGACTCGACCATCTGACCAATCAGAGCAGAGTAGGCTCACGGAAAGGAGGGGTTTTGAGAGACTGAATCTTTGAACTGCTTCGAACGAATCGTTTGAGAATCGCTGGAAAATGAGGTGATATTAAATGCATATTTTGAGAAAACGAAAGCGTTTTTTGACCTTGCATGCATGTAATCCTATTGTAGGAGACTCCCAAAACAATATTAGGAACCGTAAAAATGGCATAATAGGGGCACTTTAAAAATATTTGTCCCTAGTTGTGTCATCTTTTCTCCAATATCATATTTTTATATTTTTTGAGCATTATAAATGAGTGTGTGTTTATGGTCAGTGAAATAATGATAAATGACAGAAGAATCTAATGACAGAAAAATATCCGGTTTAGTAGTACAAAGGATTTAGTGTATATTTAACTGGATATTATGGTGGTAATAGCTGGAAAAACAAAATTATTATTTGGATGGCATAAAATTTGTGCAATATATAATATAGATTTTAAATTATTTCATTTTATTTCATAAAATAAAATCTTATATGATCTAATTAGGTATTATATATATATGGGACTTCTTGAATATTTGTAATCTATTTTATGACTAAAAAGCCAACATACAAATACAGCCTGACTCTCCTCCCTAATAAAGTCTTTTCTATTTAACATTTTCAGCACTCCTCTGGAGGCCATTCATAATAGTTTGGAGCAGGGTTATTATATTTAACAAAAACTAAAACCATAAAAAAGCTTTGTTACTTCAAATAAAATTAACTCAAATTAAATCTTAATGAAATGAAATTCAAATATTAATTAATAGTATAGATACTAAAAAAGCACTGGTTCAGAGTGGAGTTTTTTTTATTTTTTGAAAGATCATAGAAAA